AAAAAAAAAAAAAAAAGAAAAAAAAAATTAAGATTAAAAAGCAAAGCAGAAGTATTTCAAAAACTAAATATTTGGCTCCAGAAGAACCATGTATAGAGTTGAGGCCAAATGTGGTGTGTTTGTTGAAGAAATTAGTACCATTATAAAGAAGTCAAGTACTTTGTACAAGGACAAAAAGAAAGATGTCTTGCGGGCATCTCAGGTATCAGCATGACCTGTCCCATTGCTGGTTCTAGAGTGCAAAAGTGTAAACCTTTCATTTGAAAAGAGTCCCTGGGTTCCTTGCTCCAGAAGGTCCTCCTAGGTAACTGGTTACCTAAGATTCATTTCACAGTATTCAGAGGCCATGGCAGCCATGGTCCAAGGGGGCCAGGCTAATGTTTAAGCTGGTGATGGGCCTTGGTATTGTCCGGGTGATACTGGTTGTTCAGGAATGTAGGGTGCAAGAGCTGTGGGGTCACAGAGGCTTCTGCCCAGATTTCAGAGGAAGGCCTGGAAGGCAGACCTTATGCCCTCAAGAGGTGGGCGGATGAAGTGGTAGTAATGAAGTCAGAGGTACAGTCGAGGCCCCAGGAAGTCAGAGTTGCCTGGGATATGGAATGTCTGCCAAGAAAGGCTATAGGCAGTGAGTAGAATCCCCCAAGAGAGAAGCCACCTCAGCTACAACCAGCAAGACAGTGGGTGTGGGGCCGCCTAAGCCCTCTGGAACTCACTTTGCTGCCGCATGTCCTGGATGCCAGATGAGGACCTATAGGACTCAATGTTGCCCTGCTGGGTTTCAGTCTTGCTTTGGTCCTACTCTTTTCCATCCCCCTACTCCTCCCTTCTGAAATGAGAATGCTTACCTGGTGCCAGTGTACCTTGGGGTTATGTAACTTGTTTTTTATTTTTACAGGGGTTCACTTGCATTTGACTTGAGTCTCAGAGATTTTGACTTAGACTTTTTAGCTGTGCTGAGGCTGTTTAGACTTTGGGGAAGGGATTGTGTGTTTGATTTTATGCAGGCTAGTTATGCTAGGCAGAGAAGAATCTTGATTAAGCAGAGTTCAGGGAGATGTGTGTGGGTGTTGTGGGAGTTTAGTTAACAAGAGGTAAAATGAGACAGTTAAGCTTGAGTGTTACCTGGCTTGGGAGCTACTGAGGGCTTTAGTGAGGCACACTTCTGGTGTGTCTGGGTGGGTCATGGGGCTGTGACATTGGCTTCTATATGGACCCCTGGCCCCTTCTTTTCTGGATTGTTCCCCTGCTCTGCTTCCTGACCACCATGAGGCAAGCAGCACTCCTTTGTAAAGCATCTCTGTGAGTTCCTGCCTTGGCGCCAACTCATTTTGGTCTGAATCCACTGAAACCACAAGGAAATAAACCATTTCCTCCCTTACATTGTGGTGCCAGGTATTCGATCTCATTGATGGGAAAGCTGACCGATACTGGGTAGATTTAAGTGAATGGATTTGAGAATTTCTTCAGTGAGTAAGTGCTGCTGAGCCTGCTAGGTACCCACATGTAAAAAGTCCTCATCTTCACCACAGATAGAAGTAGTTCTTGCTGAGGTTTCGACCTGAGACATGAGATTATCATAAAAAGAGTGTTCTGAAAGGTAACGTGGCAGAGTATCTGTGATCATAAGGTGAACACATTTCTAAGGACATGACAGTCCCACATGTGTCACCAGCACATCCATGAAGGCAGGATCTGCCCCTAGATCCTAGATATCTGTGTGCCCAAGAAACAGTGAGCCTTGAGATATAAGTAGGAACGTCCTGCAGGCTTGGGAACTGATCTGAGGGTCTGGCGTTAGTGTGTTTCCAGCTGTTTCCTTGGACCAGAGCAGCCGTGGTTCCTACGCACCACAGCTCTAAGTCCACTTGGTTGGTAGAGGCTGCGGGACTGCCAGCCCCCGTGGTGAGGCCATTTCCAGCAGCTGCTCCTTGCGCTGGCCTTGTGTGGGGAGCGGCTGTCAGAGGAGGCAGTGAACCTCCTGCAGGGGTGGCTCCTTCTTGTCTGCCTGGCCTGGCCTGGGCAAGAGGCATAAGCCAGAGGCTGCTGCAGCCGGAGGAGTTGGGGTGCTTCTGGGCCTGTGAGGGCTCCCCACGGTGGAGCAGCTGGCTGGCACCATCAACAGGGGTGGGTAATGGGGGCCTGTTCATAAGGGGTCATGGACACGCTGGGCCAGAAGCCGAGCGTGACGCTGTCAGGCAGTCGGGAAAGGAGGAAAGGAGCCAAGGAGCCTTCCAGGAAAGGAAAGCATCTTATTCCTTAGGCGGGGATTACACATGTAAGAATTCATCGAGTGTCGAATGGAGGGTTTGTGCCCCTAAAGCAGTGAAAAGTTATTACTATAATTATATATTCACTAAATTTGTTTAATTAAAATATCTGGGGTCTCAGGTGATCTGCCCTGCGGTCTGCCTCTGGTAGGCCCTGGAATGTGTGGAGCAGGGCTGGGACCCCACGCCCTGGTGATTCCCTCGGGGTCTGTTTGGGGGCCAGGTGGACGCACAATTCATAGTAACATGAGATGAGAGGCAAGTGACACCGAGGTGCCATAGATGCCACTGGACATCACCACATAGCACATGTGAGCGCAGACTGGTGTCCTGGGAGGAAGGAAGCTGCAAGACTCCGCAAACAGTCCCTGAGAAGGACTCGCGGAAGCCGGAGTGGCGCCAGCTTGTGATGGGTCTGAGCCATGTGTTCCCAGAGTTGGAGCTTTCTGGGCAGCCCTGGCTTTGAGCCGATAGAATAAAGCCTGAGTCTGTTCCTTGTGTGTGTCAGCTCGGGGATGACCCATCTCCCAGCTGGAGGTTGAATTGGAGCCTTAATTTGACTGTTTTGACCTCCAAAAAGGCCGCTGCTGTGTGTTGTTCTGAAGTGGCCCTCGGAGGGCGGGCAGACAGGAAGAGAGCGGCGCTCAGAGGACTGAAGGGAAGTCAGGTTTATTCGCTGGTAGCAGGCCCAGCGGAAGTCCCCTTCCAGAGTCTGAGCCCCGTTTCTAAGTTTGTTCTCGTATTTATCTGTTCTCTAGTCAGGACGGGGAGCAAGCAGTTTTCCAGAAGCAGACCTTAGTAAAGGGCGGGGAGGTGGAGGTTGCTTATTTTGCTTTTCTTACTGTTTATCTTTAAGACATAGGGAGATAGGCAGGTTCAGGCAGCCGAGTCGCAGCTGTTCATCCTCCGGGCACAGTGACCTTCGAGGGTTTAGCAGGAGGGGCGGGCCTTAGCCCCTGAGCCTCGAGACCTCAGTCTCTGCTCTGTCCTTTGTTCCTTTCCATTTCAGTTCCACTTCCTGAGTGGTACTTGCTCCTCGGAAACATCTGTGCTGGCCGTTGTGAACTGTGGGTGCAGGCTCTGACGGGGTGCCACTGGTTGCCTTGCCTGTCATGCCTGCCACCCGGGCACCTTGCCACCGGCCTCCACGCTCTCTGTGCTGTCTGGCCCTCCCTGGGTCTGTCTGTGTTAGGTCAGGGTTAGGGTTGGGGGTGTTAGCCCAGGGTGCTGTGTCCAGCTCTGTATGAGCCTCCTGTTTTCCCACGAGGTCTTTTTGTCCTCAGCCTGTATGCAGGAGAGTGGCATGTTCACAAAGGCTTCGTGGCATCAGGATCAGGTGTCTCAGAAGAGGCCCCACCCATCCCATTTTGAGGAATGATGGCAGTGCTGCCTTGCTCTCTGCGTTTTTCCTGGGCTGATGTTTTCTCAGGGTATGTAAGCAGTTTATCGTGTCTTTCAAAGATTGGGCTGTTTACTCTCTCGGGAGCATCGAGGGCACTCTGGTTCAGTGGGCCCTGACCCTTTTCTTTATTGGTGCGTGGAGTATTTCCAGCCAGACCTCCTGAGAGTCCATTGTCAGCACAAGGCATCCTTTGCTTGTCCACTGATGTGAGCCCGCTCTCGTCGCTGCCTTGACTGGTATCAGGTACTTGTAGTTCACCAAAACCAAGATGCGGGTCATGAGCACATGGTGCAGTTGGTGCCACCAGGGAAACGCTGGCATTGCCATTCACTGTAGGAGCAGGCTGCCGATGACGGTGGGATAAAGATGGTAGGCAGACCACGAGCAAGTACTCCCACAGCAGTCTGATCAGGAGGTGCTTCTACATCTCTGATGATGTAACTTTTTTGTCTTAAATGGAAAGCTGGGATATATGCAGAGCTAGAGAGGAGAGTCCTATGAACTTTGAGTGTCCGTCACCAGCTGGGACACTCCTGGGGCGAATCTCGGACATTTCTGTATTTGTTCATGAGCACTCCAGCGCGAGCTGTTAGACCAAATGAGAATAGCCAGCACAGAGACAGAAAATCTAGAGGACTAGGAGAAGTTTATTTATGCGTGTGGACCCCACTCTCAAAGGAAGTGGAGCCCCGAATCACAAAGAAGCAGGGTCTTTACAGGGCTGAACAAGCATGTAACCCTGGGCTTGTCTGGATGAGTTAGGGTAGTGGCCCTCTTCAGGGTCTGTTTGTTTTAGATAAGGCTTTACTGCTGTTAGGGCGCTTTGCAGTCATTTGATCTAATCTGCAGGATGTGAGCAAGTGAGATTACAGAGGCAGAAAGCACGGTTAATAGCCTGGGGTGGGGGCTGCACAGCTAAAGTTTAGTTTTAGGCCAGTATAGAGGCACTTTGGTCTTTCATGTACCTGGGCATCAGGCATCCTTGGTCAGGCGTGCACCCCTGGGCACATCTAGATCAGCTGTCATTCCTCGGTGCTGTGAAGGCTCCCTGGCTCCCCGCCTTCCTTTCTGCATTGAACGCGGTCTGTCTGAAGTGCACCCACGTGGTCACCCAGGCCTTCGCACCCCGTCCGAGCAGGCAACGATGTGAGCAGCTGTCGCATGGCAGTGAGAGCTGGTCTTCTTGTAGGCTGCTTTTTCTGGATCAGGTTCAGATTATGCAACTGTAAGCGGTCTCTGTGCTGAGTCACTCTTCTCACAGATGTGCACTTCAAAGATGCACATGGACCCCTTCTGTCCTGTGGGGACCGGGTCGCGTTCGGGCACGGGCTGCTGAGGGCTGGGTGTCGAGTGCTCCCCTGGAGCACATGGCCTGTCCTCACTGCTTGCACTTTGCTGCACAGGTCTTGGTCCCGCCGGGCGCACTGGACTGCTGGGTGTTTCTGAGCTGTCTGGAGGTGCTGCAGAGGATAGAAGGCTGCTGTGACCGGGCGCAGATAGACTCCAACATCGCGCACACGGTGGGGCTGTGGAGCTATGCCACAGAAAAGGTACCTGCTGCCTTGAGGGAGCTCTCTCCTCCCCCCTCCCCCGTGACTGTGTGACAGGAGGCATGGCACCTGTGACCTTGCAGCACGTCTGGATGTTCCCGTAGAGGTTGTGGCTCCTGCTGCTTCTGGTTCACTTGTGGGTAGCACACACTGAACTGCTGTGCGAGGGGCTCCCCGCCAGGCCAGGCGGGTCAGCAGGCCCAGCCATGCTCGTGGGCATGTGCAACAGGGACTGCAGGGCCGGATTTGAATGTTTATATTTAAATTCATGAGTTCTCTGCTGACTCTTGTGGCAAAGTAACTGAAGTTTGGGTTTACCTCAACAGTTAAAGTCTTTGGGCTACCTGTGTGGACTCGTGTCAGAAAAAGGACCTGACTCCGAAGATCTGAACAGGACAGTTGACCTTTTGGCAGGTCTAGGAGCCGAGCGACCTGAAACAGGTACCGCTGTTGCTGAAGCATGGAAGGACTGGATTTCTGAAAAGTTTGGTCTCAGTGCTCAGAAAAAGTATTGTGTGATGGATTTAAAGCATTTTACAAATACAATAATTGGACAACGTAGACATAATAATGTAGTTTCTGTTGGTGTAGCTTTGTTTGAAATTTCTCCAGGATTGAGATGAGAGCCAGGTATGTTGGTGCACACCTGTAATATCAGAATCCTGGGAGGCTGAGGCAAGAGGATCACAGGCTTGAGCCTTGACTGAGTAACATAATAAGACTCTGTCTGAAGATATAAAAATTTTTTTAAAAAGTCTGGATATGTAGCTCAGTACAAAACCCCTGGGTTCAATCCCCGATACTGCCAAAAAAAACAAAAAAACAAAAACCCAGAAAGAAGGGTCAGGGATTTAGCTCAGCAGTTCCTCTGCCTGCCTCGCAAGCACAAGGTCCTGAGTTCAATCCCCTGTACCAAAAAAAAAAAACAGTTGAGGTTGTTTCCTGTAGTATTTGAAGGTGATAGCCCAGTGGCTGTGCTGCTGTGGGTGAATGAGGCCTCTTCTTTCTCTTAAAGTCAGCACAGCTCAGAGTCCGTACAAGAAACTCAAGGAAGCGCTGTCGTCGGTGGAAGCTTTTGAGAAGCACTACTTAGTAAGTGTTGCGAGCCTTCTCCATAGGCCTGGGAGCAGCTCTGCCTCCAGGAGGCTTTGCTCTTCTGCAGGGCCTTTGACTTGGCGTGCACTGGCACCCCTTCCAGGGCCTTGCTAGGTTCTTGGGTACCCTGGGGAGTTGTGGACAGAGACGGGCAAGTTGTTCATCACTTATTAGTGCCCCGTGCCACAGTTAAGCACGTGCATCTTTGAGTGCTTATAACTGTGTTCAAAGTGGGTTTGCCCCTTCAAGAGCTAGAAGAGAGGAACATGAGTTCTTTAACTTGGAAGGAGGGGACCTTGTGGATTTGCGTGGGGCTGTGGCACCATATGTTGAAAACGTCAGGTTAGGGAGTGTGGGGAGAGTTGTGGGGACTGAACGCAGCTGCCAGGCTGCGTCCCACAGAGAGTGCTCCAGAGTGTGCTGGAGTGGGGTCCCTGTCCCACAGTCAGTGGGGAAAATGTCCCAGCACCTGCGTGCGGAGGTGCTCTGAATAGTTTTGTATTCTATGCTGAGCGAGTTCAGGGGTTTCTCTTGCTAATGTGCTTCATGATATCCTCACAAATCTCTGGCTCCGTGGAGATTACTTACTGCAGAAAAACAACACAAAAACAGATGTCAAGAATGTTATGCTAATGACAGCTTTTGCTTCCTCTTTGTGTAAATTAAGAACTATCTAGTGTTAAAAATTCAAGTCCATAATTCTGCCTTTCCCCCGCTTTTTCACAGGATTTGTCTCATGCTACCATTGAAATGTATACGAGTATTGGGAGGATTCGGTCTGCCAAGTTTGTTGGAAAAGATCTGGCAGAATTTTACATGTAATTGATCTTGAACTTTTCATTGTATTTTAAACATTTCACACACACAGCAAGAGAAGATGTATGTACAGAGTTTATGTAAAGTGTACATAAATATGTGGTTTGAAAAAAATGTAGAGTCTGAACTAGTCATGATTTTAAAAAACTTTAGGAAACCCAAATTGAGAGTTTTCAGTTACCTTTAATAACTGATAGTGGGCTTTGAAGTTTTCGTATTTAATTAAGTTTAACTTATACTCCAAATACTGCGAGTCTGTCCTGAGGAAGGGTTGAGAGTGTTCTGAGGTCAAGTTCAGTTGAATGTGGGTGGGGTTTCTCCAGTGGCTGATGTGCTTCTCGGCAGGGTAGTAACCATCAAGGCAGGTGAGAAGCAGCCTGGTGTGCTGGATACTTGTGAGGCGTGGGTGGGGGTGAGGCTGGGGTGGGAGAGCGGTCTAGGGGTTGCTGTAGGGTATGTCCAAGTAATATGCAGACTTCACTGGAGTTTGCTACCAGAGAGAAGGACCTGAAGCTTAGCTTACTTTCAGCATTTGTTCTATAAAAGCAGCCTGTTGGAGAGAAGAGAGCTTGACTAGCAGTGTTTACTGTTTCAAAGAACTGAAAAGATGTAAACTACATGGGAAAAGATATTTGTTAACATTTTCTCAAAAAACAATGAGTGTTTGAAATGAGCTCTTAAAATCTATAATAAGGTAATTTAGGTAGATGAAACCTGAAAGAAGAAGATGTCTGGAGGGACGTGGGTTGCTGGGAAGAATTCCCAGATCACGTAGGGTATCCAGTTCTAAGTGGGTGTGACTGGAGGGCTGCAGAAGAACTCAAGCATCACGCTTCCCAGCCCTAATGAGCACTCCTCTTGGTTGTTGCTATTGCCAGGAGGAAAAGGTCTCCCCAGAAGGCAGAGAGCTACCTTCAGGGAGCTTTGAAAAACTACCTGGCTGAGGGCTGGGCCCTGCCTGTCACGCACACCCGGAAGCAACTCGCTGAGTGCCAGAAACACCTTGGGCAGGTAGAGAAGTATCCTTTACTGCCAGTATTCACCAAGTAGGAAAATGGATTTCTGTTTTTATAGCAGCATTGTTCACCGTTGAATATTTAATAATGCCTCATATTGAGGAGAAAATCCTACGTTATGTGTACCATGTGGGATGTGAAAATGCTTCATTAATATTTTGTTTTTTATTTTGGTTTGTTTGTTTGTTTTTGGTACTGGGGAGCGAACTCAGGACCTTGAGCTTACGAGGTAGGCAGTGGAACCACTGAGCTAAATCCCCAGCCCATATTTTATAAATCTAAGTTTGACTTTGTAGTAACTAAAAATGAAAAGCACTTTGGCCACCCTTTGAAGGCTGGGGTTGGGGGAGGATTAGGGAGCCCTTTTGTCGCAGCGTGCAAGGTTCTCCCTCCAGGGCCCTTAACTCTGTGCAGCTACCTGCAGACCAGCAGCCTTCTGGCCAGCGATCATCACCTGACTGAGGAAGAGCGGAAGTACTTTTGCCAGGAGCTACTCAGCTTTGCCGGGTGGCCTGTGGACAGCCCGGGTGAGTCTAGTGCTTCCACTTCATTGTGAGTGCTCGGGAGGCTGAGCCAGGGAGATTGCTGCAAGTTCAAGGCCAGCCTGGAAAACATAGTGAGTTCAAGGCCAGCCTGAACTACGGTGAGACCCTGTCTCAAAAAAAAAGAAAACCTAAAACCTTAATTGTGGACATTTTCACAAACTGCAGAAAAATAATAATACAAAGCTACCTGGAGACCAAAATTAACACTCTGATCACTTTTGTGTGTAGCAAGCGTGTATCTCTTTCTCTTCTACCTTTCTCTTTTTACTGAACTTCAAGGAAACGCTACCCCCCAAACAGCTAGCATACATCTTCTAGAAATAAGTTTGGATGGTCTCCTGGCTCCTAAGGAGTTCATGGGGTTTTTCTATCACTTTCCAAGAGGTCCATATTCAAATTTCCCTAATCATCTCAAAAAATGTTTCTAGAAAGTTTTTTTTAGTAGAGGCCAACAAGGGACTTTCATACTGCATTTGGTTGTTATATGTCAGTTCTCTCCTCATCCAGAACAGCTTGTCTTTTTTTTTAACAGCACTGACTTTTTAAACCTGTCAGCTTCACTGAGGTAGAGCCCACCTGTCATGACCCCCACTGAAGAGTGCATGCAGTGGCTCTTAGCATATTCCACTGTGTGTACCCACCGCCATCCATCACCCCAGAAAGAAGCCCCTGCTCCCCTCCCCAGCGCCACTGGCCGCCAGCTGCCTGTCCCTGGGACACCTGAGCTGCATGCTCAGGACCCACGCAGACTGTCGTCGTGGGTTCTCAGGGCTCGCCCACTGTGGGCGTGTGGCCGAATTTGCTCCCATCTGTCAGTATTTCCTGGAGGAGATCTGAAGAGAAGTGAGCTCAGGAAGGCTTAGGTTCAGGCCGAGCACTCTGACATACACACTTGATGATAATGCAGTGTGACAAAGTTAAATTATTGTATAGTGTAGCTCCTCGCGCTTGGTTTACTGAGAAGAGCACTTGCCTGTGTAGTGCGTGTCACTCTGCTGTGGCTGGCGGAACAAACACTGTGGCGGGGCTTTCCTCTGAGGCTCAGGTTCTAGAGAGGCCTCTTCCTGGTCACCGTGTCCCATGCCCAGGGAGAAGAGAGCACTCCCCCTGGTGGCTGTCCCTGTAAGGACAGCCCGTCTCTGTACACCATCTGGAGTGGGGTCAGGTCTTTGTGCATTTGCTAGAAACTCGGTCTGGTCGTGGCAGTGCTGACTGTGTGAAAGCAAATTTTCCAGAAGCTGTGGCTCCGGGTTTGTATGGACTTGACTTTGATGGGGCCCCTCGAAGAGGGCCGGCTGGACAGGTTCCTCGGGGCAGCGCAGAGGTCTGTTGGCTCCTTAATGTGCCTGAATGGACTGTTGGCACCGCAGCCACACCTGCCGCTTGCTTGTGTGGCAGATGGCAGAGCTACGGTTGTGCCAGCATTCAGTGGCGTCTCTGTGAGTCCCGTAATCCATCCCTGTTTACTGCTCCTCTCTGCGCTTATGGTGTCAGTTGTGGCCAGTCTTCTTTAGTTCGTGATCCGTTGTTTTCTTTTTCCTTTTCTGTAGTGCTGGGGCTGGACCCAGGGCTTTGTGCATGCTAAGCATGTACTCTACCACTGAGCTGTGCTCCAGCCCTCCTTTAGTTGATGAATGGCTAGGAAATGCTCACCAGTCCATTTTGCAGTCTGCTTTTCCCTCACCAAGCCAAGTGCTTCTGGAAAGGAGATCAGAAGGCCATAGTGTGGTGGCTTCTCCTCACCCACCCACAGTGACCACAGAGCTGGCTGCTTCTGGTCCTGGGTCAGAGCCTCACTGGCTGTTTACATGGACCAGTGGACACCCCGACCTACTTCTGGGTGCACAGTGGGGCTCCTGGCATCGTTTCAGGAGACACTTAAGTAGGCAGAAAAGTGTGGGGACCCCAGACAGTCTGCTGTTCACAGGGTTTATATTAAGCTCAAGGAGTTAGTTGATATGTGTTAAGTTTGCCATACCAGTTTCTGTTGTTTTCGTAATTTCCCTGAGTTGTCTGTGCATTCATCTATATTTTCCTGTTGACGAAGTCCCTCTTGGACTGTGATGGTGGCAGGAGGCAGGAAGCTTTCCAGCTCCCACCCCGCTCCCCAACATTGCCCTTGCTTGGACCAAGGGCAGGGTGAGGGTACCACCTTGCTGCAGGTGGTGGCCTGGGCAGCACACGCAGTCTGTGTTCCAGGTCACAAGGTGGTGCTGCCCATGCACTCCTTCGCACAGCTGCGGGACCTGCACTTCGACCCTCCCAACGCTGTGGTCCACGCGGGCGGCACCTTGTCCCTGGAGATGACTGTGTGCAGCCAGATGCCGGTTCCCGTGTGTGTAGACCAGATCGCCATCAACGTTCACTTCAGCATCGAGAAGAACAGCTACCGGAAGACTGCTGAGTGGCTGACCAAGCACAAGACGCCCAACGGGATCATCCACTTCCCTGCCGAGGTCTCCCCGCTCCCCCCGGCCCAGAGCAGCTTGCCCGCGCTGGAGCTGGCGGAGATGTTCGAGCGCAGCCCTTCTGACAATGCCCTGAACACCACGGGCATCATCTGCAGAAACGTCCACATGCTGCTGCGCAGGCAGGAGAGCGGCTCTTCCCTTGAGGGGCCCTCGGGGGTGGCCCTGGAGGACGGGGCCCACGTACTGAGGTGCAGCGGTGTGACGCTGGAGCCCGGGGCCAACAGGGTGGCGTTCAGGACTCAGGTCAGTCGGCTCTGGAGGGCAGCTCAGGTTGGTGGAGAAGGCTCAGCTGGGGCCTGATGTCTGGCTCACTGTAGTTTTGTCCATTGTTAATGAAAAAAGCTGAAAATTTTCAGTCTTTTGTATATATGGTGTTTTGGCCATTGATTGGTTTTGACTGAAGTTCTTTATGCAGATCAGATTCAGCTTGCTTTTTAGTTGACTGGATCCAGTAGCGGTTTGCCTTGTGAACCTGTCACCATCATCATTGGCTAACATGAGATTTTAAAGAAGATGGTGCAGTCACTGAGCTGTTTCCCTTTTTTTGGCTATATCAGTATTAAAACAATGGCCTCTGGCTGAGCACGGTGCCCAGTGCTCTGGGAAGCTAAGGCAGGAGGATTGCAAGTTTAAGCCCATCTTGGATAACTTAGTGAGACCCTACCTCCAAAAAATAAAATAAAAACAGGACGAGGGATGTATCTCAATGCAAAGGCCCTGGGTCTAATCCCCAGAAGCACAGTTGCCTCTGGCCACCTCTGCCCTGCTTTCCTCTGATGAAGTGGAACCTGTGTACTCACCTTTGGGCCCGCCTTGCCCAACTGAGCAGGCCGTGCATCTGCCGAGGTCCCCTGTGTGCCCACACAGCAGATGCCACCACGGCTCCTTTCCGCAAACACCCTCTTCGGAGCCTCAGGTTGGACGGAAGCGTCCGTGACTGAGATTCGGGGCTTCTGGCCCCACCATTCTCAGGAGCACACGTGGGCGCACAGGGTGGAGACTGGGAGGGAAAAGCAGATGGCCTGGCCCTGCTGAGGGATGCTCGAGCCACAGAGAAGTTGCCATCTTTCCTAGCGCCTGCCTCTGACCCTAGGCCAAGGAGCCGGGGACGTACACCCTCCGGCAGCTGTGCGCCACGGTGGGCCCTGTGTGGTTCGTGCTTCCGCACATCTATCCCATCGTGCAGTACGACGTCTATTCTCAGGAGCCGCAGCTGCACGTGGAGCCACTGGCTGGTGAGTGGCGCCCAGGGCCCCGCAGGGAGAGTGGTGGGGACACCGTCTTGGAGGCTCCCGGCTCGCAGGACGGAGCCACCTGGGGCTCCTGTCATTGCTGACTCTGGTGTGTCTTGAGAAGAAAGTCAGTGGGGGCTGCTGCAGGCGGGAGGCTTTGGTTTCCTGCTGGAGCTGCGTCAGAGGCTCCAGATCAGAGCTGGGTTCGTTCCCTGCTCTGGGCAGAGGCTCCTGCTCAAGTGTGCCGAGTAATACTGGACCTCCGGCATCACACTTGAGAGTTCAGAGCTGCATCCTTTTGCTCAGTTCCAAAATTCCAAGCTGGTGTTCGGTCTGTTGGAGACCTCTCAGCACTAGGGAGGGAGAGTCGCCACTGTTGAGGCTGGGAACAGCGCGCTTGCTTGGTGTTTGTTCCTGCTGATTCCCCCGTTCTCCTTGTCTCTCTATCACCTTGTGCTAGGGTAAGAGCTGCAGCCACAGCAGTTGCCTCTGGAGTGATCCGACCTGCAGGGGGCTCTGTGGTGGGGCTCCGCTCTGCTCCCGCAGTGCCGCTCCCCAGCCCTCTTGGTCCCTGTCTTCCCTGGCCTTGGCCCACCTAACTGGTCTCTGTTCCTTTCCTTTTCCTGTCTTGGGCCTGCTTCTACCTCCCCAGGCCAGGGTTCACAGAGGCTGCAGCGCCTGCTGCCCTCATGTCTAGCTGGGTGAGTGGTACCATCCCTGCTGCTGTGTTCCCGAGCCAGGCCGTGAATTTGTGCACGGTGCCACCCACATGAGCAGTTTGCAGCGGTGGAGACCGAGGCAGGTCCTGGAGTGCCCAGAAGAGCAGATCTCATTCAGGAGAAGACAGGGCCCTCTTGCTCTCAGCACAGGCCCTGACGGCGGCCTTGTTCCCTTTAGATAGCCTTTTGGCTGGCATTCCTCAGAAGGTCAGATTCACTGTCACCACTGGCCACTACACAGTGAAGAATGGGGACAGCCTGCAGCTCAGCAACGTGGAGGCCATGCTGGTCCTGTGTCAGGGAGAGAACAGTGCTGTGATCTACTCTAACTCCAGAGGTACTGTGCAGGCAGGGGTGGTGAAGGCGGGCTCAGGGTGTGGCCATATACTGGGAGCCCCCTTCCACCCACTTAGCCTGTCCCGACACTTCCTGTGTCCACATGTGAAGGCGGCATCTGAGCTCACAGGCAGACGAACCTGGCCCTGAGCTGGGCATTTGTTTTGGTGGGAGTAGACTGCCTGCATTGTGTCCATGGGTGGTGCCGATCCTGATGGGGACACCGGGGGCAGCCGGCCTGCACTCCACGGGCCCCTGCGAGACTGTGGTTGCCTGGTCCTGAGCTGTACTGGCGGAAGGGGAGCCCCTTGTCTTCCTCTGGGCCGGTGCCCTGAGGTCTCTACCGTAACAGTGGCTCCCAGCCCGCCAGCTTGCCCACTGTGCCATTTCTGGCTTTCCCTAGCCTGGCCTGCTCTGTGCCTGCCTCTACCCGGTCCTCTGTGGGTACGGGACAGCAGGAGCCTGCTCTTGAGAAGGGAAGGGATATGTGTGATTCATGCTTTCTGTCCTGCAGAAGAGTCCTCCAGTGCAGTGCTCCAGGTCCAGTCCTCTGACAAAGTCACGAGCATCGGGCTGCCTGCCACGCCTGCTTACCATGTGATCGAGTTTGAGCTGGAGGTTCTGTCCCTGCCATTGGCTCCAGCATCTAGCAGGGAGAGTGACACGCCAGGGACACCGGAGCCGCCCAGGAAGCAGAAGGACAGACAGAGGGCGGGCCCCTGCATGGTCACCACCGACCACAAGGTAGTGAGGGCAGCACGCTGAGGAGTGTGGTGAGAGGCACTGCTGAGGGGCCGCTCCAGAAGGATAGTGTCCTGTCCCCCAGCTTGGGTGACAGTGCTCCTTGGAAGTTCTGGGCCAGAGCTGGGGGAGCCTAGCTGGTGCTTCGTGGGGTGAGGGTGTCGCCCAAGAAGCCCTGCGGCAGGCTGTGTGTGGCCGGTGTCCAGTGCTCTGTGGCAAGACCCTGGCCTTTGTATGTGGCCGACATCTTCGCTCACCCTGGGGAGAGCAGTAGGTGCGGGCCCAGGTCCAGGCTCTCCAAAGAGGCAGGGCATGTCGGACGGGCCGGCGCCCGTGGGTGAGGGCTGTGTCCAGGCCCAGAGGAGTGGGAGGACATCCCCGCCCACTCTCACGCAGTGCCTCGGGAGCCGTTGGTGACACCTAGCGTGGCAGGAGGCACCTGCGTCCCACACAGGTATTCTGTATCGGCGTGGTCATTTGTTCCGCAGAGGGAGGGAAGCCAAGTGCAGTGCCCTCTGTGCCCTTCAGGGAATCACCACCTTGTCCACACATGCCCCCACGTGGCCTGTTCTCCACCAGGAGCTCGGCGTCAAGGCGGGAGTGCTTAGATGGCCTCTGCCCTCTGGGGTGTGGAGGTGGCCTGTCCTGTGCCTTTGCGCCTGTTCCATTTGGACTCCGCGTGCTGTGGTGCCATCGAGGCCAGTCTGGTGGCACATGGCCACCTGCCCGTTCTGTCCTGATTTTGTCTGTGTACGTAGCTTCGCACTTCTCGTTTGTGCACGATTAGAAGAATTCTACTTTGTGAACAGTGGACAGGCAGCCATAATGAAATGTCTAGACCTCAGCAGCCACTGCAGAGTTCATAGGCTGAGCGTGTGTCCCCTCTCTGTCCCCACAGTTGTCCATCGATTGCCCATGGTCAATCTACTCCACAGTCATTGCGCTGACGTTCAGTATGCCCTTCAGGACCACGCACTCCCTGCTGTCTGCCGGAACCAGGTATCAGGCGCCGCTTTCCCTGCTGTGCTGCTGGCCTTTGTGGTAATTAGGATGCTTTCTTACATAACCGCAGTGGCTTGGCCTGGTAATTCATAGTGGTTCCCTGGTGTCTTGAAGCACCAGTTCATGCTCGGTTTTCCTGTCCCACCAGCGACACTGGACAGTTGATCTGGGGTCCGTCCAGGTCCCTGTGTGGTCGCTCGCCTGTATTTGCCCCTTCTGTGCATATTAGGCCGTTGCCATGTTGGCAGGCTGCTCGCTGTCTGACGTCTCCACGGCCTCCTGGAATCCGTTGCTGCCTTGCCTCCCCTGCTCGGGTCTCACCGTCAGCACAGTTGCCTCTGGAGAAGGGTCTGCCCATCGCTGCCATTTGGGACCTACCGAGTCTTTGCTGTGGGGGCTGTCCTTGACTGGAGGGGCTGAGTAGCACTGCTGGGTGCCCCCTGATGCCAGGCCACAGCCTGCCCTCCAGACCCTGCGGTCCCCAGCCGAGAGCCCTGCTGTGGAGGCTTGGTTGGCCCGCTTGGTCGTTGACAGCCGTGTGTGGAAGTGACTCAGCCCAGCACGCAGCGGAACGCTACCCTGAGTGATGCCACCAACACCGACCGCTGTCAGGACCCAGCCTGCCTTGCTTCCTCAGTGATCCCTGGGAAAGCAGGAAGCAGAAATGTTCAGACCACATGCTGAGTAGAGCATTACACCAGCGATGGCTCTTTCCTTCAAATCATGGCAGGGGAGCTGTAGTTAGTAGTGGCTAAAAACCTCTAAGAAAATATTTTTCCTTAAAGACTCATTTTCACAGCTCTGTGGTATCAGAGCTGACTTGGTTTCTTGGTAACCAATCCTGACCTGCGCTGAGGACGAGTGCCCTTGTCCTTCTGCAAAAGACACTGTGGCCTGCTGCCTGATGAGGGAGGTCCACACGTTGTGCCCCAATGGCATTGCTTCAGAAGTGGGACGCCCTCTTATCCCCTTTCCCGTGGGAGCAGCTTCTTTTAAAAAGATGTGGGTCTCTTGGGCACTTTTATATTTGAAATCAAAAGCAGAATTATTTTACTGTGTTTCTTTTGTGGTCCCCTCGTCAGTGAAGGACTCCCTAACAAAGTTGAGGTAGTTTAATGAGGTTCTCACATTCAAAATCAGGTTTTGCATCTCTCCTTTAGGAAATACGTGCAGGTTTGTGTCCAGAACTTGTCAGAGCTTGACTTCCAGCTGGCAGAGAGTCACCTTGTAGATACTGGAGGTGCCGCCGACCTGCACCTGACTCCGCTGAATGCACCGTCCCTGCAGGTAAGCACCTCTAGGGCCCAGTGCAGCAGGACCCCAGCCACAGAGTTTGCTGACCCGCAAGAGCTTGTATGCATCAGGCAGGCCTGAGCCAGTGTGGTGCTTGCTGTGATGCGCGCATGGTATGTCACTGATGTACTAAGTGGGCTGTGCTTGGCTGAGGGGTGCAGCAGATATGTTAGGAGACTGATCTGTTGCTTTTAGAAGAACTTAGTCTCACACATGGCGTACTCTGCACTGTTTTATCCAAACTCGGGCTCATGCGGGACTTTCCTGTGAACCCCAGATATGGATACTGGTCCCCCTGTCTGTTACAGGAAAGCGTCCTGGGTGTGGGGCAGCTCTGTGGTCGCTGCCCACCCTTGGTGGTGGGGGCAGCCTCCACACAGAGGCTCGCCAGAGCATATCTGGTTCCCGCCCTGGCCTTTCCTGCCCCTTTTCTGTGTGTGCTTTTGCAAGTAAATGCCAAATATTCACAGGGTATGAGGCTTCTTAGTGGATGTCTGTTCTCAGCATTTTCAGAAGGCTTTCCTGCTAGTACTCGACTGTTTTCACATCTTACCTGAGCCTGTCCCAATCCTCTGCATGAGGACTCTGCATTAGTCACATTCAGGTTACGCGTCTGACTGTGCTAGTTCTAAGTCACTTTCGTGTTAAGTAGAAGACGATGGGCATGAATGTGACGATATCAGTTACAGCCCCTTCTGGTAATGTGTATGGGACATACTGGGGACTGAGGAATATTCCCGAAGCCTCTCTTCATAGTCACACTGCCATGAGGCTGTGCATTCTGGGACACTGGCACTGTTTTCAGGTGGTGTGCCATCTGTGCGGGGCCAGGTGGGGCGATGGCACTGGGCAGTGGCCGGTGCTGCAGGACTGCAGGGCACACACAGCGTGGCACACGCTTTCACTTGGAGGGAAGAGGGCTGCCTGCTCCCATCTGGCCCTGGAGAGTGTCGCAGTGACAGCAGCTCTCTTTGCAGCACATCCACAGCAAGCAGTCAGTGTTTTTCGTGTGGGAGTTGAAGTGGACACAGGAGCCTCCCCCTGCCCTGCGCTGCCAGTTCTCCATGGGCTTCTCCCCGGCCTCTGCAGAGCAGCTGTCCATCTCCCTGAAGCCCTACACGTACGAATTCCAAGTGGAGAACTTCTTTGTACGTAGTGGGTCACCTGGGGTGCGATGTGTGGTTGTGAGGGGAAAGGAAAGGTGGCACCGTGGTCTTTGTATTCTAGCGTCTCACATGGACAGTCGTGGGAGTCTGGTAGCTGGGTCCTTCTTGGTGACAGCTGAGGGGCCTGTGCTCATTCTCACCCTGACGGAATTCTTCCTGGAAGCCACTTGGCACAGTTTCATCTCAGTGCTAGCTCCCACGCAGGCAGGGCCTTTGTCTTCTAAATGCAGCACCGGCAGTGGTGGGGAGTGGCCGTCGTGCGGCGTGGGAGAGCCGGGGTGAGTGCAGTCTTGGCAGGCACTGAGCAGGGGGTAGCCCTAGCTCATAGCATAATCAGTGTGACAGTGTGTCCTTGCTGGTGAGGGGCAGCAGTGAGCAGGGAGTCTGGAGGTGCTGAGGGCTCTGTGCGTGGTGACCTGGTTGGTTGGCCCGTGTCGCTGTCACTGTCCTGGCAGTTTTTCCCTCATCAGACCAAAACAGAAAGGATTTCTGTAGCTCTGTGTAAGCTGAGGTGCCCTGTGCTCACTGCACTGGTCTCTGCTGTCTGCGACAGCAGCCTGGCAGCTGCCGAGCGCTGTCCCCTGGGTTTTGCAACCCGCCCATGTGGGCAGCGACGGTGACATCGCGTCATGGCTCATGGCCCGGTGTGTGTCCTCTTCGGGAAGACACCTGTTCATGACCGTCACTCGTTTTTAAATGGGGCAGTTTGGTTTTCTATAAGTGGACTCTTAAGCTCTTTATGCATCCTTGGCCTCAGTTCCTCATGATACTGCCTAAGTAATGGGAAATGTTTTCTGCCGTTCTGTTTCTTTATGGTGTCCTTTGAAGTGCAGAAATTTCTAGTTTTTGGTAAAATCTCGTTACTTCCTCTTGTATTGCTTGGACTTTTGTTTTTAGATCTGAGCAATCATTGTCTCCTCCCAGGGTTTCCTCCTCTGTTCTCTTGTAAGAGTTGTACAGTCTTAGAGTTTGCATCTGAGCTCTGACGACCATGAGTTAGCGTCTGTGGAGGTTGATGGCATCTGTGGCCCCTCTGTCTGTCAGGTGGCTCATCAGGTGTCCTTATACTGTGTGCCAGACAGGCCACCGCGCAGTATGGTGGCCGTAGCTATGAGGGCTTGTTTCGGCAGATCATTTCTAGTCACCGACCGGAACCCCCACAGGAGCCAGCTCCTCCTCCAGCTGCTCCAGTCCTGAGCAGTAGCCTTTGTGCTAGGGTCAGACTTCAGAGCAGGCGGCCACCATCACCACTCACTTCAGGGTCTCCTCTGAGCCCCAAGACAAATGTGACCTTGGCTGCTCTTGCAGACAGTCCAGGTCCCAAGCACTCCGCTGCGGCTCCCCACGGCGGGCTGTAGGAGAGCTGCTGAGAGGCTGACCTTGGAGAGTCAGCTGCGGACTGCCCAGAGGGTACAGAGGAATTTGTTGGTGTTCTCAGGTGTTGATAGTGGCCTGGTGCTTTGGTGAGAAAATGCCCATACGTTGTGGTAGTGAGTCGCGGACACGGGTGAAGGGGCAGGCTATCTGGAATTTGCTGTAGAATACCCGGGGCAGATGCAGAAACGCAGCTGCATAGAGGGAGCAAAAGAAGCACAAGGTCAATACGCCACGGCTGTCTGTGTCGCTGAATGCTGTAAGAGGCTGCGTGTCACCGGCACAGTCGTGGTCTCGTGCTATAGCAGGTCCCTGGTTTAAAAGAAGGTCGGAAGGCCCTGGGGCATGAGGGCAGTGTGAGGTCACGGCAGCCTCCGGGCTCCTGTGTGTGAGCTCGTGTGCCCCTCCCCAGACCCTGTACACCGTGAAGGCGGAGGTGCTGCCGCCCGCAGGTGTGGAACACTGCAGGACCGGCTCGCTCTGCTCTTTGGAGGTGTCCATCACACGGCTCGCTGACCTGCTGGAGGTGGACAGGGACGAGGCGCTGACGGAGTCCGACGAGTACTTCTGCACAAAGCTCATGTACGAAGGTGGGTGTGTGTGATCCTTCCGAGTGCAGTGCCAGGAGACCTTCCGGAGCACTCAGTGCTTGTCCGGCAGGCTCACCACAGAGTGACCTCCATGTCCACAGAGCCGCCTGGCATGCTCATCCAGGAGCGTCTGGGCCTCCTCGGCCCGAGCCAGGACCCGGCCATTGCTCCTGAGGCAGGCTGGGCTCCACTGCCCCACTGTCGCCCATCCTCCCGTCTGGGGCTCTCTCTCCTTGGTCTTCCCTGGCCTCTTCCTCCTGGCTGCTCCAGTCCACTGTTCTTACACAGTTCACAATCCACATGCTTATTACTGACAACCACAGCAATAGACTCATCGTATGACAGCGTTAGTGAAAACGACTCCCCAAAACAAAACAGTGGGTGTTTTGCATCCTTCGCATCTTTCTTAAGTCAGCCAGCAGAAGGGAAATGAACGTCATCCCGGCCGCACCTGCTCTGCATCTAGAGGGTGTGTTTCCTCGGCTGAAGTGCACGACGGCGCTCCGGCCTTGAGCAGGTGGTGGCTGGCAAAGGGGAGACATTTTCACAGCCTTTCCCATAGCTGTGGGGACTCCGGGACCGTGCTGTGGGGCCTGACAGGCTGGTTACTGTGCACGGTCCTCATCCCTGGACAGACTGGACACGTGCTTCATTGCATCCTTTGGCCCATCCCACGCTCCCAGTGGATCTTTGCCAAGCATGGCTGTGTAAGACTGTGCACTTGGTTATTTGGAAAATGTAATTCCCGAGTTAGGTGGCTCTTCCTGATGCTGACGTGTCGTTTCAGGGTCCCAAAGTCACATTGCTGGAGCCCATCATGGGGTCTGTGGGTGCTGGGGTCCATCAGGCTGGTGATACAAATGCAAGTTTTCCAAAATTCAAGTTTTTGTTTAAAGTCCGAGTGGATCCTTGGCAACAAATACTTCCTGGTTATTTTCTTTGAGGTGACAGCCTCACACCATTCATTTATAAGAAAATATATGTCAGCTGAGACTGATGATCCACAGTGTTAGTCATTGCTCCAGGCAGAGTCCAGCCCATAGCAGCATGCATCTGCGCCCTGAGACGCTGTCCTGCTGCAATGGGCAGCAGTGCTGTGGGGACGCCAGACCTGTGCCCGGGGCCTCTACGAGGAAACACGTGAGGTCTTAGAAGGGGCACAGCGAGGAGGGAGGGTGCCATTCGAGGGACCCTGTCACCAAGAGGGATATCAGAGGTGGTAAGGGCTCAGGAGGTGACAGAGCTCCAACTGGGCACTGGCACTGCTGGATCCCCGAGTCCACACAGGTGACAGAGCCCTGCGCCAGGCCAGGACAACCGCAGAGGCCAGGCTCCGGGTGGTGGTCGGTCACCCTGCTGTGCCAGGGGCTGGGCTGGGCACATGGTCCCTTCCCCTGCACCTGCATCTTCTTGGGCGTACAAACACGTCCCAGGGCAGTGAGGTGTTCACTGCCCTGAACTGGACAGCGTTGGCTGCTGTGACTGCTTTGTGAGGGACGCTCCTGGGTCTCTAGCAGTCTCTGCTCTGACAGCGTGCAGGGGTCACCGTGAGCCTGGCTCTCTGTGTTGCTCAGTGTGGTCCAGGGTAGACGCGCCCAGAGTGCTGTATCCCCCTCAGTGAAGCATGTGTACGTCGCACTGGACACACACGCTCCCAGCTGGGCTCCCGGCAGGTGCCGCATCTGGTGCATGCTGAATGGCCGCTGCTCCTCCTTTCAGTGGTCGACAACACCAGCAACTGGGCAGTGTGTGGGAAGAGCTGTGGTGTTATCTCCATGCCTGTGGCCGCCCAGGCCACTCACCGAGTGCACATGGAGGTGATGCCTCTCTTCGCGGGCTACCTCCCTCTTCCTGACGTCCGGCTGTTTAAGTACCTCCCTCACCACTCTGCACACTCCTCCCAGCTGGATGCCGGTAAGGACCCAGAGGAACCGGGCCACGCTTCCTGACCGACCTGTGTGGGCTGGGGGCGTCCTGGGCTGGGGCGTGCTCACCAGGCCCGACTTGCTGCTGTCCCGGAATGTGGCCGGGCGCCGTCCTCTCATGGTGCCTAGCTCCCCGCACAGGCACACACACAGCTAGGTGTGCTGGGATTCCGAAACGCAAATCACCACATCCACAGAATGCGGGCAGCGCAGGGCACTGTTGTGGGGCTGAGGGACCAAGACGTGAGACTATGGGTCAGCAGCCCAGGAGGTCAGAGTTCAGGTCCCAAGGGCGATTGACCACACAGATGTTGCTCTAGCTCCGTCCTGAGTACACCACTCCTAAGGCAGACCCACAGGAGAGCCGCGTGCTGTGTGGTGCAGACAGGAGACTTACTCACCTGCCGGGGACTGACCCGACACCTAGCCTGTCGTCGCTGCCGTGGCGTGCACTCTGAGGGCCGCGTCTCCATGTGAGATGCCCTTACGGGCAGGGCCTGGGGGGACGTGCTTGCAGAAGTCCACTGGGGGTAACAGGAGTGATGTGCGTGTTCTGCAGACAGCTGGATTGAGAATGACAGCCTGTCGGTGGACAAGCACCCAGACGACCAGCTGGACTGCAGCAGTGTGCGGAGTAGAGGCAGCGCGCACTCAGCCGCCAGTGGCGAGCACAAGGGCCTGCCCATGCCCCGGCTGCAGGCGCTCCCCACCGGCCAGGTCTTCAACTCCAGCACGGGCACGCAGATCCTGGTCATCCCCGGCCAAGACGACCACGTCCTGGAAATCAGCGTGACATGACAGGAGCGCTGTGGTCCTCTGGCACCACAGACTGCTATGATTGCACTTTAGGGACAGTGACTGGATCGTTCTCGTCATGACACACTAGCTCTAACCAGACTCGGCATCCCTGCTTGGCCTCACAGGTACCAGGGAGCGGCGCGGTGCAGCCGGTCGGCGGAGATAGTGTATCCCTCATGTTGTCTGTGGCACAGGACCCTCGTTCTTCTCTCACCCCATCCCTGTGCTGGTGTCTGACCGCTCTGCTCCGTATCCCGCTCCTCCACCCTCACACTGCTGCAGGACTGTCTCCAGTCTCCACGCAGCCCCGTCTGCCGGCTCTGCAAGGAAGCCTTATCTTTCTGGCCGCGCTTGGCAGGCCCCGCTGGCTTCCTGTGATGCCTGTGTGCTGCCCAACCCTGGACCGCCTGGGAGAAGCTGGGCGTCTTCTGATCACCAAGCTTCCCTTAGTAACGCGTAGCGCCTTTCAGGGCCAGCAGGAGGGGTGCAGTGGGTCTGGAGGGAGTGTGACCCCTTCTGTGCCTCGGGAGGACAGTCAGCTGACCAGGGAGCTGCAGGCTGGAGCTGTGCTCAAGGTACTTGAGAGGGCCTAGGCTGGGCGGGAGAGGCAGCGCAGCACTGGAAGGGTGTGGGTGTAAATGTTTCTGGTCCCGTGTTCCCCAGTGTTGACCGGATATCATATGCAATTGGAGTTAAACATATATTTATTTTAATTGTCATTATGTAGGCGGGGTTGATATGTTGTTTGCTTTTCTCTCATCTTTAACGTCTGTTCGTGTAATTGTAGCCGTGTAATCCGCATCTTTCTTTTGCACCTGAGGTCTTAGCTGAAACTCCCGTGAGGTAAGGAGTAAGGGATCCTCGTGTGTCCTAGGCCGGCCGTGGGGACTGGGCCACTCGGTGGCAGTCAGATCACACCAACAGGCTCATTCACTTTCGGTTGTAAAATTTAATTGTACATATGGTTGATTTATTATTTTTAAAAGTACAGACTAACTGATGTAATGTTTAAGTTGCACCAAAAATCAAGGACAAAATAAATGTGTTTTTATTGGTGTAAAAGTCACAGTTTGTAAATAAGTGTTGTATGTATTGGCCCTTTTCTGGCTCTGCAAAGCAATGTATTTTTGTACATGGGAATTGAGTGCTCTGGGTTCACTGACACAGTGTGCTTGGAGCTCAGCTTGACCAGGTGAACATGAGCAGATGCAGTGGGGGACAGCCCAGCCCAGGTGTAGGAGCCAGAAGCACGGCTGCAATGACCGAGTCCTTGTCAGTACTGTCGGCCTTCGCCTCATCCCATAAATAAAGGTGGTGTGATCTTCCCTGTGGCGCTTTTATTTCTAGAAATTGGGAAACTGCGTAAGGAAGAGAATTCTCCATGGGTTTAAACTTTTGGAAGTTTATCTTCCTTATGTGGTAAGCTAATAAATGTGGCCCACCTGCTTAGGCAAATTAGAACTTGAGACCAGTAAGAGTTTAGGGTCCCAGAAATAAGGTCTCCGCTGTCAGGGCGGTGCACGCCCGGCAGTGCTGTGAAGCAGGCGGTCTCTGCAGTTGTGGCCGGTAGAAGTGTACCATCGCTGTCAGCGTGGAGCCAGCGCAGGGCGGCCTGATGGCAGTGCAGGACGGGGGTTTAGTCACCACTCTGGTTTTCTAGTATCTGAGCTCTCTGAAGATACGATTTTCTAATGGTATAGATTTGGAATAAAACAAGGGGGAAATCCAAAATGTATATGGTCGCTTCTTATCTGGAAACTCAGTGAAATCAGAACTGTCCCAGATTCCTTTCCCCAATTAGCGCTCTTTGGTAAACTAAGATAAATGCTTCTGCCCTTTCCCCTTAAGATAAAAGAATGTCACTAAAAAGTTAGAAGTCCTCGCGTTAACAGTCACAGCATAACAGGGAAGAGGCTGTCCCTGGGCGTTTGCTGTGAGGCTTTGTAACTGAGAGGGGCTGGTTTCGATGACTCTGGTGTGGTGAGTGTTGAAAAGTTGAGAAGCCAGGGATGCAATGTGTATGTTGAAAACAGAATATGCAGCTCTGCTACAGGGAACCTGTAGAATGTGTAAAATATAAGCAATGGAAAAGAGGATCGGTTATAATTTTTGTGAACTTCATGGGGCTTCCTGTGATTAAAGGATAATTCCTCTGGTTCTAAGGTGGGGAGTGTTTGGTCTGAGAACAACTTCCATTTACCCAGCCTGAAGCAGTCAGATTCGAGTATTAGTCCTAGGTGAGTGGGCGTCTCGTAGAGTAGGCCACATATGCATGAGGCTCCATTCACTTTTTCTTTAGGGTGTAAAATAAGGTTAAATTTTGTGCTCGCAAGGCAGGTGGCAGAACCACTGAGCTTAAATCCCTGGCCCAAGGTTAAATTTTAAAAGGAAATTAAGGTCAGGGAGTTAGATTGGTGGTTCTGCTGCCTGCTTCACAAGTGCAAGGTCCTGAGTTCAATCCGTGTTACAAAAAAAAAAACAATACACACACACACACACACACACACACAATAAAAGGAAATTAAACATACCAGATTTGTATCTAAGATGAAAAGTGGTGTCCCTTTTAATAAAAGAACTAACCAGTTACCAGGCTGGTCTGTTGTACTTTCAACTGTGAACTTTAAATCTTACATGATTTTACATTTTACTTTTCTTGAACATGTCCCTTTCTCTGAGTGTCCTCGTCCGAATCCGGGCTGTAAGAGCCTCCAGCGTCATTACGATTTACTATGGGGGCTTCTGTGACTGGGAAGGTGACCAGTGGGCTCAAGGTGTTACTTCCATTTTCATGGTTTACTATGGAAAGTCATTTCTCACACTATTCTGTAATATAATGTTAGACTAAAACCGCTGTGTGGAGGTTGTTTAAAATGTAAACATAATTCTGAAAATACACATTTTAAGAAGAAACTCCTTCTGAACCTGATTCTTTCACAATGACAGTGTGAGTTAAAGGTTTGTTCGCGTTTCCCCCTTTAACCTTGTTCTTGAGTCTCTGGCGTGGACTGCTGACTGAGATAAGTGGGGATTTTTCATCATTTCCTACTCCGTGAGTGACCCGCAGGAACTACACCTGTGACCCCTGGGCCTTCGTTCCTACGGACTTTCTGGCGCGTGGGAAGCCCTGATCTTGCCCTAGTTCGGGAGCCTTGTGCTTCTTGGGCCCTTGGCCATCAAGAGCTGTGCAGGCGGCGGGCACTGGCCCAAGGGCCGCTGCCTCGCCTCTGCTTCTCCCTGTGCAAGGGCCCTGGACACAGAGCCCCGCCTAAGTGGGCGGGGTGGGCGCGATGAGGCTCCGCCCCGAGGCGTGGCATGCCGTGTACGGGGGCGGAGCAGCTT